CACTTTTCCAAACTCCAGCAGGCGAAAAGCAGATTTAAGAACATGTAGTTTTACGCTGAGGGTGGTGAGACCCTGGCACAGGTTGCCCAGAGAGGTGGTAGAAGCCCCATCCCTGGAGACATCCCAGGTCAGGTTGGATGGGGCTCTGAGCAACCTGATCCAGTTGAAGATGTCCCTGCCCACAGCAGGGTGTTGGAGCTAGATGGACCTTTAAAGGTTCCTTCCAACCCAAACCATCCTGAGATCCCATGGTTGCACGGTTGTTGTGTAAAACCCTTTTTTTAATGCTGTGGGAATGAAGATTATTCCACCAGCCACCCCAGCACCTTCACCCAGGGCACACCTCTCTCCCCTGCCCCACGCGTGCCTTGATCTTGAATATTGCTGGACCTTCCCCACCAGGGACAATCCTGCCTCTCCCCAGGCAGACAGTGTCCCTGCTGCTCGTGGTTCCTCTTGTTCCCACCCAAAAATGCCTCCTCATTGTACTCAGCTCTCCCGGGGGTCCATTGTTCTTTGCACCCTTTTGTTTTGCCAACAGGAGAGGTGTCCCCAGGGTCTAGGGTCCATCCTCATGTCTTCTCAGCACCTGGAGATGTGCAACCCAGGGCAAGCTACTGTAATATCGTAGAACCCTACAACACTTTGAGTTGGAAGGGACCTTAAAGACCATCTCATTCCAGCCAGGGCAGGGACACCTGCTGGATCAGGTTGTTCAAAAAAACCTCCCCGTAGTCCTCTCACAGCCCCTGACCTTCTCCAGCTCCAGGGGTTCGTCTGTTCAGGAACCCCCTGATTTACTGCGTAATATTTGCAGATCCAAACTGCTAATTACCCCAGGGCTGCTAAACGTCCTCTCTCTCCCTCTCCTCACCCTCCTGTGTCACCACGTCACACCGGCTGGTTGTTTGCTTTCTCCACAGCTGTGAGATTATGGCTTTGGGGGTTTCTAGGAAAAAAACATTTAACAGTTTCCAGTGATCACCCTGGCTTGGTAGGACAAGGACCATATGACCCCTCCAGGCCTCTCTCTGCCCTATTTTCTGTCATCCCACGGGTCTTTTTTTTTTTCTGTTTTTTGGGGTTTTTTTCTTCTGTTCAAATTCTTTCTTCCAATGATTTAGCTCATAATTGTTTTCAGCTTTGCAGGCTTGGCCCTTTGCAGGCTGAGGGACATAACTCTATTGCGGGGTTGGACTTTCTGCTCGCTCACGAGAGTTTACACCAAAAAGCAATCACCGATGGCCAGTTCCTGATGAGATCAGTGATGCAATCCCCTCCTGAAGGCTCATCTCAATATGCCCCAAATGCATTTCTTTCTTTTTTCCTCTCTTTTCTTTTTTCTTTTTTCGTCTTTCTTTTTTCTTTTTCTCTTTTTTTCTGTTATCTTTTTTCCTTTTTCTTTTTTCTTTTTTCTTTTTTTCTTTTTTCTTTTTTCTTTTTCCCTTTTCTCTTTTCTTTTTTCTTTTTTCTTTTTTCTTTTTTCTTTTTTCTTTTTTCTTTTTTCTTTTTTCTTTTTTCTTTTTCATTTTCCTTTTTCTTTTTCTGTTTTTCTTTTCTTTTTTTCATTTTCCCTTTTTTCTTTTCCTTTTCTTTTTTCCTTCTTTTTTTTTCTTTTCTCTTTTATCTGTTCTCTTTTCTCTTAATACTATTTCACTGGCGATGCCAGAACTTTTCGTGGAAAGGGAATTTCTCCTGGAATTCCCCATGGAGTCACGCTCAAGGTGGAACCACAGGAGCTGCAAGGCTGAGTTTCCTGCAGCATGAGATAGGTCGATGAAGTCATGTTCACCTGCACTCCAACACCTTCTGTGTTTCAGGACCTCCAGGACCCAAAGGAGACCAAGGCAATGAAGGGATGGAGGGAGAACCTGGTCTTCCCGGCCTGCCTGGGCTGCGAGGTAAGGAAAAACACACCCAGGGCACCCACAACTTTGAAAACCTGCCCCCAAAGTCCACAGAGTCGATGGGACACCTCTTGCTAACCTCCCAACCTGGCCTTTGGGACCGCGCTGGCTGTGCACAGGTCTTGAAGAACACCAGGATTAACTTGCTGCCCCATCCCCTGCCAAGAAGTTTCTCTCATCTCCCAGCTGGCCCCAGGACATGGAGAGCCCTGAGGGTCCAGGTCCCGCAGGTTGATGCCCCCCAGGCTCCCACAACACAGCCACCCAGCCCTGATTTGTGCAGGACCTGGTCACCACCCCATGTTCTCTAAATCATTCAGTTGCTGTTTTCTTCCTTCCAGCTCCTGATCACTAAGCAGCATGTAGCTTTCTCATTTTTTTTATCATGCTCCAAAATATATATATTATTTATATCAAAGATGGAAAAAATGAAATAAGATAAAGCTATGGTTAGGAGAAGAAGAGGTAGAGAAAATTGTCATTTTGTACATGAGAATTAAGGTTTCTAGTATTGGCAGTTTCCCAGAAGGACATGTTCTTCTCCTGGAGCAGGTTTTAACCTCTTTCCTCCTAGTTACTACTTTGACTTTGGATGCTACAGCAAAGTGCTAGGCTAGGACATCAGACACCAGGCACCAGGGCTGGCCCCACTGCCTGCACCCCCCCAGCAGCACATGGGGACCCCCCACTGCTCCTCCAGCCTGGCAGAGGGGACGTGGCTACTGGCTGCAGCTCTGAGGCTTTTCACAGGACATTTTTTTTTCCATGTCAATGATGTCAATTCCCCACCCCCTCTTCTTAATTCCAACCATTGTTTTTAAGAGAAATTCAATTAAAAACACAAAAGAAGACACCCCCCATCCCCAGAAACGGGACTCGACTTGAGCCTGCTTTTAATTTTCAGCCAAACCTAGAAATGCTGGCGCTGTGTCCGAGAACCAGGGATGGCACAGGGGTAATGGAGTGAGGACCGTCCCCAAGAGGCTCTTCCCTACTGAGGTGACAGGATCCATCCTGTCAGGGGCACAGACCTCCTTTTCCATCCCAGGCTTCACCTTGGCTGCTGAAGACATGACCCACGTAGGGCTATCAGTGCCAGGGTGAGGTTCAGCACCGCCACCTCGCGCGTCTGAGCTGCCGGTGAGGTTCTGGGCTTAAAATCTCCTTTTTTTTTGATATATCTTTTCCCCCTTCTCCCTGGTGGGCAGCAGGACCGGCCAAGTCAGGCAGAGCCAGCCTGGAAACCTGAGCGCTCTCTGAAAGCCCTTCTCAGCGTTGGCTGCCTCTGCTCATTTCACCGACAGCTATATTTTTTTTGTGTGTGTTGACAGATTAACAGCTGTTTTTCTTGGGTGTAACAAGCATCAGAAATATATTGTCTGGCTTCTTTCCTTTTTTTTTGTTTAAACAGAAAAACAAAACAGTCTCTGGAGGGTTCACCTTTGGGAAGAGTTGCTGAAAAGGCCACGATTTTTTTAGTCTTTCTCTGTCTTGCTTTTTCTGGTGCTTTCCTGGATGTGTTCACAGCACTAGCCCTTGGATATGAGAAAGTCAGGTTCAGGTGCAGCCAGGTGTTGTGAAGCATCCCTGGTAAATCCTCTTTTTCCACATCCTGCCTCTACCTCAGCTCCTCTACCCAAACCCACAGCCCAGTCCTGACAGGCTGCAACATCCCCCTTGGGAGGGAGGCAAGGCATTGACTGGGTGCAGCAAGGAAAGAGTTAAGCCCCAGACCACATCCACTGGAGCTGGTGCCCAAATTCCTCCTGGCAGCTTTTTTTTTTCCCCTCTTGAACCAGAGGAACATGTTGACTAAGCCTGGAAAAGCCCAGCCCAGGAGGGTTGGAAGGACCAGCAGCATAAGGGCTGAGCTTGGGTGCTGGAGGAGCTTCTCCCCCAAGTTGCTTGCCCTGACCCAAGCTCAGGGCTCGAGCTGAGTCGTTGCTGGGACCATCTGGTGGGGCCACCCCAAGGTTCCACCAGCACCCATCACCAGCACAGGGGTCCCTCCCTTCACCTCCCCTTGCCACCCAGCATGGACAGAGGTCACCTCTGGGGCTTGGATGTGTCCCCTACAAAGGGAGCCCAAGCTCCCAGACTAAAGCTCCATTTCCCACCTCTTGGAGGTCAGGAGTTTTAATCCAAATCCTTCTCCAAATAAATAGCAAACCCACCTGGCCAGCGTGCATAGATGCAAAAGACCTGCAGCTCGTGCTGTTCACATCATATCTCCTTGGGGTCTCTGCTCCACCTTGGCTTCTCACAATTCCTCCTTGATCACCAAGGAGGTGATCAAGCTTTGGAGTTAACTTAATCTCAGCTTTAGGATGCTCAGGGTTGCATTAGAAACAGCCCATCTCTGGCTTAAACCCGTCCTGTATTGTGGGGCAGGTGCAGAAAGGGAGAATGAGGTTGACTCTCAGGTGTCTTCTTGATGGTTCTCAGCTTCTAGCAAAGCACCAGAGTCCAAGTGGAGCATCTCCTGGCAAGCAGGACACGTGTGTGTGCAGGTCTCTCCTGCAATGAGGTCACGTTGTCTCTTTGTTCTTGCTCCAGGGCTCCCTGGGGAGAGAGGACCACCAGGACCACGTGGCTTGAAAGGTGACCAAGGCGACCTTGGCCCTCCGGGTCCAGTGGGGATGCGGGGATTCAAAGGTAAGGACCAGCCTGTGCTCATGCTCCTGGGTCATGGGTCTAAGAGTGGGAGATCTCCTGGCTTGGTGGGGGGGGAGTCTCCTGCACTGAAGCCTCACCAGAGCCCCGTGAGGACCTGCCGGGCTCCCCTCCCACGCTTGGGTTTTAGGAATAGCTTCATGTTTGTTTTCTGGTGACCTTTTCTGGCTCGCTGTGGTTTTGCAGCATCTCACCACACCCCAGCTAAGAGCAGGGAGAAGCTGTGGGTGTAGGATGTGGTCACACACCTATTTAGCAGGACGGATCCATCCCGAGAGACCTTTTAAAAGAAGTTTTGTGCTGCAACCTAAAGTATGATGGATAGTCCCAAAATAATGCTCTTTCTGCCTCAAAACCTTGTGGGCAGAGGGGAGGCAGGAAGAGCCCAACCTAAGGAAGGGACACCACCCTGGTCACCGGTGACCAAAGTGGTTTATTCCCCTCATCTCATGCTTGTGGGTGATGGTGGCCAGGGACATGGTCACATTGGCCACCAGGACCTGGAGCCATGGCCACAAACCGGTGTCCAGGTCTGGAAGATGCCTGCAGGCAGCACTCTGGGCAGGGGATGTTGCTGTCCTTTCTTCTGGAGGTCTTTACAAGCTCTTGCTTTGCTGCAGGGACCTCCTTGGGGTAACTGAACTTGTGAAAGCTGAAAGAAACTCATGAAAGCGGAACAGGTTGCCCAGGGAGGCTGTGGATGCTCCATCCCTGGAAGTG